GGGGGAGCAGTCCAGAGCGTCTGCCTGGCTTCTGCCCTCCAGTGTCTCTTGCAAGGGCAGCTCTGTGGAAGAACGCAAATTCGTGGGCAGCCTCCTGATGGCAAAGGATCTGGGAGTGTCTCTAGCCTACTAGGCTCGGCAGGACAGGAGGGGCCACTGGAAGGAAATGCTGGGTGTCGAGGGACCCTACCCAGTCACATTTTCCTTTATTTCAGTTAACCCGAGATCCCTAAAACTGTCAATGTGATTTCTTATGGGGTATTAACAAACCCAGACTGGGGCAAAAGGGCCTCTTGCCACACTGGCTTCTTCTCACCTTCCTCTACTTCTCACTCAGAGAGGGATGAACTGAGGATTCAGAGTGATGTTTGGAAAATGAAAATAAGAGCAGTCATGAGTTACTGAATGCCTGAGATCCTGCTTCCAGATTCAGACAGCGGAGCTGCTCCACCAGGGGAGTCTCCTTGGGAAAAGAGCATATTTAGTAACATACAGCAGCACAGCTGGAAGGGACCACAGAAACCTCCGTTTCTCATTTTCCAAGGTGTGTTCCAAAAATGATTTAGATCCACATGATGCTTTGCCGAAAACAATAAAGAACTAAGCGGTCAGGTGCACAGCCTCTGAGAGAGCAGGAAGTCCTGTTAGCATATTTGAGTCCTTGTGAAATCCCACGTAAAGAATCTGCTTAGCTTTTGCCCACTGGTTTCCACATCTATTTGACCTCAGAACGTTTTGATTTTTTGTATAATGCCTGTTACCCTTGTGAGGAACTGGAGTTCTATGGGACGTACGCTGCTGGGAGGACTGGATCTAATTCCAACTCCTCTTTCCCTATATGAGGAAGCTGAAGTCCACAGCAGTGAAATTACTTGCCCGTCATCACAGAAACCACAGGTGGCAGAGCTGAGAATAACTCAAGACTTTGGACATTTAGTCTGGGGTTGTTTCTTTTTATCCCTCACCTTACTGTATCTAAAGGACTTTTCCTCCATTAAGTCTCCAGACGTGGGCACCTGGGTGGTTTAGTGGGTTAAGCCTCTGCCTTCGGCTCGGGTCATGATCTTGGGGTCCTGGGATCGAGCCCCACATCGGGCTCTCTGCTCGGCGGAGAGCCTGCTTCCCCCTCTCCCTCTGCCTGCCTTTCTGCCTACTTGTGATCTATCTCTATCTCTGTCAAATAAATAAATAACATCTTTAAAAAGAATCTCCAGGCATCTTCTCTAAAGCAACAGTTGCTAAGAGAAAGACTTCTCAAGGAAAATCATATTCTTTTACCCATGGGATGCCACAACCAGCCTTATCACAGATGCCAAATGGGGAAAACAAAGAGAAAGTCAACCATTGAGTATATGTTTGCCTCCAAATAATCATTGTTTTGAGACCAGCTGGGACATTCTTAGACCCTTCATCTTTCTGTTTACCAAATTGCTGAGCACCAGGAAGTGACACGGAGTATATGATCTATTACCAAAACTAATTGCCCCCAAATCTAGTGACCTTAGAACAATAAACCTTTATGATATCTCACACGGTTTCTGTGGGAATCTGGGAGTGGCTTTGGTGTGTGATTCTGGTGCGGAGTTTCTTGTGAGGCTGCAGTCCCCGTGGCAGGCAGGATGCAGCCTCTGAAGGTTTCCCCGGGGCTGGGAGCATCTCCTCTCTAGCTGGCTCATGCATAAACCTGGAGAGTTTATTCTAGCTGCTGGCGGGAGGTGTTACCGCCTTGCCATATGGACCTCTCCACCAGGCTGCTTGAATGGCCTCTTGACAGACAGGGTGGCCGGCTTTCCCCAGAGTGAGTAATTCAAGAGAGAGGGAGAGCGAGGAGGAAACTGCAGCGCCTCTGACCCAGGCGAAGAAGCCACACACTATCACTTCTGTCATACCCTACATTTATTAGAAGTGAGCCGCTACGTCCAGTCTACACTCGAGGGAAGGAATATCAGCTTCTCCCTGTTGGAGAGACAAGAGTCAAAGAATTTGCCGACACACTAGGAAAAAGTTATAAGAAGAAGGATGCTTAATTAAGTGACCAAAACATAAGGAACATATTTGGGGTAAACATCCATTTAGGACAAGAACAAGTGCTAACTGGGAACTCTGAAAGAGATCAAGAATTTAAATTTATGTGAGACCTGAAGTCCCAACCTGGATCACTGGCACAGACATTGTGAACTTCTTGCAATAAAACACTTTTTTTTTTTAAGATGTATTTATTTATTTGAAAGAGAGAGAGGGCAAGAGAGAACATGTAAATGCTGGGGGAGAGGCAGAGGGAGAGAGAGAGAGAGAATCCTGAAGGAGACTCCCCGGTGGGCACAGAGTCCCATGGAGCTTGATCCCGGGACCCTGAGATCATGACCTGAGCCAAAATCAAGAGTCAGACACTCAACTGACTGAGCCACCCAGGTGGCCTGCAGTAAGACACTTCTGACTGAATAAACTTCTGGAAGAAAACTTCCCTTGTGGCCACTGTGACTAGGAAGATGAGTGAAGGTTCTGACCCAAGGATAAGCAACGCAGAGCACATATCCACTGCTTTGACTTAAATCCTTCCAAGTGAAATTTTCCTTTCTTAAGCCTTTGAATTTTCTAAGTGCTGCAACATCCCAACTCGACCAAAAGGGTCAAATTCCAGCTCTAGCCTTTGCATCTTTTTTTTTTTTTTTTCCTTCTGGAGGTTTATATTCATTTCTCTAGGCTCTTTGAAAGTAAGATATCATGATCTAATTGCCTAAGAATTTATTTCCAAATAGATGTTGACAGAGTCTGAAAGTCAAAGAAAGATCAGACAGATCATACTTTCTCCTTTACTCAAGACTTTTTTAAATTAAAAAAATAACCATTTATGATCCCCAAGGAACTTTCCTTTGTAGCACCAGGGGTACTCGGTCAATCGACAAGTATTTCTCGGACATATGATAAAGATAAGAGGCTCTCTAGGACTCATGTAATATTTGGGAACTCAACAGAAAACAGATGCAGATAAATACAACAATCACAAAAGTGGGATTGAGAGAGGGGAATGGGCTGAGGCAGTTGTATGAGAGGAGGTAGATTTATTAAGGAAACTGTCCCAGAAAAGATGAGTCCTTGCCTGGAGCTTAAAACCATGGTGAATATTTGTGGGCACTTGGGCAAAGGCTGGGAGGTAAGAGAAGGAAGCCTGAATGTTTGGGCCACTGGCAAGAGAAGAGCGGGCCCGGATGTGATGGGAGACAAGACTGGAGGGCAGGGTGGGGAGAGTGGTCAAGATGGATCTGAGCAACTGAGCTACAAAGAGTTTGGTATAATTGGAGCAAATCCTTTGCAAGAGTTGACCCTTTTTTTTTTTTTTTGAGTATGCTGCTTCTCAAAATGAAATAGAAGAGCAACAAACCTGTCCTGTTCATAGATCCTCTTTGAGGCTAGATGTGGCCTGTAGGCCCCTCTAGGGAATGTGGGTTTGAGGTTCTGCCTTGACTTCCAGGGCACATTCCAGTCACCATCGAGACCAAAGACCCACCGATCATATGTGGAGGAAAGGCTGGGGCGAGTCTACTGACAGACTGACTGACTGACTGATGGATTCACGTCTTCAACAAGCTTACAGTGAATGCTTTTAGGTTTGAGAGACAGGTAGGATTAAATACACTGTTCATGGGACTAGCACAAGATGGCAGGCCATCTTGTTTATTCATCAGAAATTTCATTTCTCTCTTTCTTCCTTTAGTGTGGAAATTGTTGAAAGATTTTTTTCACTGAAAATCGATTGTGATCCTGCTGTGTGTGTGTCAGGGCTGTGTTGGGCGCTGGGAACCCCAAAATGACTGAAACATCCTATCGATGACGTGACAGCCACCTTAAAGCCTGAATGTTTTCTTTTTCTGCTTCTGACTCTTGCTTTGCCAGAAGGGGGGTTATTTCTCCTGGAATAGAGTAGAAAAATGTACAGCAGGTGAACAGAATCATGTGCTCTCTGGTTGTTAGCCCAGCTGTATCACGCTGTCAGTGGCCTCCACCTGTCCAAATCCTGCTTCCACCAAGTGAGGACCAAGCTATTTTTGTATTTATCTCATGAGATAACACAAGTGGTTGTGACACTGAATTTGGAACCGAATGCCTTCTAGTTTCTGGAAACCCATGTGCTAGGAAGCTACTTCTAGAGGAATAGACACAACACATAAACTGTAGCAATGGTCAAGAGACTTCCGGCCTCATTAAAATAAGAGTTGATCCTCTCACTTTGGATGGGAGGAGGACCCTTGGACATTGGGAGGGACTGACCCAGAGATGGATGGAGAGGACAAGCCAGGCCTACTCAGATCTCCTGGCTTTGAATCCATTCTCTTTTTATTAAGCCAGGGGTGACCTAACCTACCACATGAGCGCAGATTTTAATCTGCCTCGCCAAGAGGCCTGCTGGGCATACGTCTCACACACACACATCGTGGTGGATCCTGGGTGGTTGGTACTCATCACCCTCTGACTTCACTTTTTTTTTCTTTGCAAAATGGCTATTGTCCAGAGCCAGCATCTCCTCTCCAAAAAAGTAACGTGCCAGAAGGGTTTTTTGAAACTGCCTTGATAATCTGTCAGATGCCAGATGATTTGCAGCAATGAACCAACGCATATAACAAGGGTACCTGATTGGATTACCAATTAGCCATCTCCATCTCTGGAGGGTGGTTGGAAACAAGCGAAAAGGCACTGTTTAGTTTGGGCAATTACCAAAAGGGCTTATCGTTCTCATCAAGGCATCAGCGTGGCACAGGAGACCTCCTCCAAGCCATTCTGCAGGAACTTCCCTTCCAGATGCTCCAGCAAGAGCAAACTTGTTGTGCAAACATTGGGTTATTGTGTCTGAGCTACAGAGGCACCTCTGTGTCAGTGAGAGGGAAGAAACTGGCTGGCTTGCATCTGTTTTTAATGATGTCTCTGCTGCTGGGAAGTCTTGGAAGCTACAGGTAAAATATTCCCATGTATAAATGAGGCTGGCCTGGGATGTATCATCTTACCTTTACCTGAAAGAGGCTCCTTGGTTTCAGTAGGCCCGGGGAGGAACAGGCAGGTGTTTCGTTCATTTGGACCTGGCGAGAAGTGTCCCAGTGTGGGGTCTCTGGAATCTTCTTGAAAATAAGCACAAGCATGGTCGGTGTTAGCATCGGCACAGGGGAGGCTCCTCGAACCCCCCACGGGGAGAAGCCAGTGTGTCGCGTGCTCGCCATCATTGTCATGGCCCTGGCATTCATTCTTTGTTTTCTTTTTAAAGATTTTATTTATTTATTTGACAGAGATCACAAGTAGGCAGAGAGGCAGGCAGAGAGAGGGGGAAGCAGGCGCCCCACCGAGCAGAGAGCCCAATGCAGGGCTCGATCCCAGGACCCTGAGTTCATGACCTGAGGCTCAGGGTCTCATGACAGAGGCTCAACCCACTGAGCCACCCAGGCGCCCCCCGTGGCATTCATTCTAATCCAATTCTCCCTTTACAAAAATGTCCGGGTAGGGATGTGTGTGTGTCTATTTGCTATAGTTTGTCCTGGGCTCTTCAACCTCGCAGGAACAGGCTTGTTACTGACTGACTGTAGCTAAAGTTTGGTTCATTTGTATCAAATGTAATAGAGGATCCCTGCCAGGCAACTATAAAAGGGAGTGGGGTGTAAGAGAGAGGTTCTGGGCCAAAACAGTTTACAAATGAAAATGACGTCTTTGGAGAGGGAGAAAGAGAGAGAGAGGTGGGGGGAGAGTTGGGGAAGAAGGGGGTTTGAGGTTGACCATTTCGGTGGCAGAGAAGCTGCAAACACGTAATGGAGATACCGATCGGTGTATTTAATTTGTGCTTACAAGGCTTCAACTATAGATGCTTGGAGGAGGGGGGAGGGACGAGGGAAGAGGGAGGAGGAAAGAAGGGACTGAAAGGGTGAGGCATCAGGTCCCTGAGAGAAGGAGATAAAAACGAAAGATGCCGCGCCGCACCCTGTCTTTGTGGCTCTCAGTTCCCACGTGCCTCTCAGAGTGTGAGTTTCTCGCAGCCCCGGGTGTGATTCTGCTGTTAACCGAGACACTTTCTTCGCAGTGTCTGGCACCCAAACACACACCAGTCTTCGTCCTCTGGTGTTCAGCCAGAGACAGTAGCCCCGCACTCCCGGGAAGGAGGAACAGCTGGCTGGGCCGCCTCTCCCAGAAAGTGGTGCCGTCAGTGTCCAGCACGGCACCTCCCCCAGGGCATTTCAGGGGGTGACTTGGACTCTAAGCTGTTTTTGCTTTATGAGCTGCCTTTAGATCCCAGCCCCCGTGGAAGCAATTACTGCAACGTCTCTGCATTATTGCTCTTGTCTAAGCATCCCAGTCTCCTCCTAGATTGTCAGCTCTTAAGGATAGGAACTTTCAGTGGGCCTGTCACAGAGGAGGTGGATTTCCTTTGCCTCGCCCTTTGGGAGAAATCCAGAGCCCTCCTCTCTCTGTGGACAGGCCTCAGGCTCTGCCCTGGGCTGGGGGGGACTTCTTTCTGGGGACTTCTTCCTCTCGGCAGAGTCCTGTCACCAGGCTCCCTGGCCCCTGGGAGGGTGTGGAGGATTGCCTGGTAAACCCGGGAGCATGTATCACTGGTGAGCACAGGGAGCTGTGTCATTGCACACCACTGCCAGGAATGAGAAGAGCACAGAACAGCTTGACACTGCGTGTTGGTGCAGCAAACTCTTAAAACATGTACTGACTCTTTTAGGAATATGCGTGGTGAACATTAATCCCAGACGCTGCTGGAAACACTGCTGATTTCCCCCTTTTCAATGGGGTGGCTTTCAGACAGCTTGCTTCACAGCTGCTGTGTGGCCCTGCAGATGATTAAGTGAGCCCAGAACCACAGACAAGCTGAGGGTGGGGGAGGGGGAACATCTGTGCCCCCCCAAGAGTGATTACCTTGTCCTTCTGCTGGGAGTGTCCCCCTAGGCCTTTTCATATCCAAGGAACCCATGGAGCTGCTGTAGCTTGATGTCCTGGGGCTGTCCAGGCCCCTCTGGCTCTCTGGACTTTTTCTTTCTTTAATCAGGGACAGTGGTGGGGTCACATTCTCTTGTGGGCCATCATCATCTTTCAAAGCAAAAGGAGAAAAAACACAAGTGAGAGAACTTCTGAATCAGCAAGAAGGAGAAAGAACCTTTTTTCCTCTTCTTTCTTTCTTTTTCTTTTCTTTTTTTTTTTTTTTTTTTGATGGCTTCTTGTGCTTAGGCTGGTTTATTTCGTTCATTCCTAAGTTTGTCCCTCCTTTCTAGCCCTGCTAAGGAGTAGAGGCCAAGTGACTCCTTTCCACAACCAATGGAGGCCGAGGTGGCTGGAACACCTTGGGGTCCTTCAGTTGGGAGCTTCTAGTAACCGGGAGGACTGGAGTGGTGGTGGTTGTCTTCTTGTCGATGGGCTCCTGAGAGAGAGAAAAAAGACTACAGAGGCTATGGGATCCTTCTAGCCCCCCAAACAAAGGCTCAAACAAAAAAGACTCCAGCTTTAGAACTCATGGTATTGTTGGCTACAGATACAACCACAAAGCAACTTTTCTAAGCAGAGCCAATGATCACATGACTCCTCAAGGTCGTAAAGTACAAAGTAGCACCTTCCAGATGTTAGTTAGAGGGTAATGGGATTGATGAAAATGCACAAAGCCCACCGTGCCCTCCTCTTCTGTTCTTTCTCCGGTTCTTTTTCAAAATCAGTAGGGACTACTCCAGGAAGGGTGAAACCCAATAATCTAAGCGATTGAGACCATGTCTTCATCTCAGAGGGAGTGGTATTTATTTCCTGTTCAACACAATGTTGCTGTTGTGTTTAAAAAGCTGGCTTCACACATAATTTCAACGTATCATGGGCCACTTATTTATTGCAAAGGGAAAAAGTATCTTTACAATGGAGAAATCTAGTAGACACCACCTTTAACTGAATAATGAATTTTAACATCCCCTGTAATGAAACAAATGATAATAAATGGAATAAATATGAAGGCATATTTCCTGTCTCTTGATGTGATATGCTGAGAAAGATGTATCATGACCTACATACTATTCTTGCCCAAAATGTTGGATCCGAATCTAATCACAAGGAAACAGACAAATCAAAATCGAGGCTCATTCTGTAAAGCAACTGGCCTATCGTCTTCAAAAATGCTCATGCCATGAAAAACAAGGTTCTAAGGACATGGGACATACATGATCTTGAGTAGAATCCTGGATTGATTGGGAGGGTGGGGGGAGGAACCACAAGGAACATTATTGGTATAATTATGAAAATTGGAATATGGACTATATATTAAATAATAAAGTTTCTTGAGTGTGGTAATTGCATTGTGATTATGAGGGAGAAAATCAGTGCTCTCAGGAGATACGTGATGATAAGAGAAGAAATATACAAAGTCTGCAATTTAATCTCAAGGGTTCGGCAATAAAATATGTCTGGCCTATGTGCATATCTAAAATCTGGTTTTATTTTTGTGATATTAAAGGTGCGATAATCCAGGGCTAGGCATGTAAATGGCTACATGCAGCCTCTGGCAATGGGATCGTCCCTGCTTGGTAGCTTTAGACACCCTTGTCCCAGGAGTCTTCTTCTTCTTTTTCTTTCTTTCTTTCTTTCTTTTTTTTTTTTTTAAGATTTATTTATTGGGGCACCTGGGTGGCTCAGTCAGTTAAGCATCTGCCTTTGGCATTGGTCATGATTCTGCGGTCCTGGGATGGAGCCCCATGTCGGGCTCTTTGCTCGGCGGGGAGCCTGCTTCTCCCCTTTGATTGTGATCTCTCTCTCTCTCTCTCATGTCCTCTCTCTCTCTCTCTCTCTTAAGTAAATAAAACCTTTAAAAAAATAAAGGTGTATTTATTTATTTTAGGTGGAGAGGAAGGAGAGGGGAAGAAGGAGAGAACAGATCAAGCAAACTCTGTGCTTGGGGCGTGGGGTGGGGGAGGAGCCCGACATGGGGCTGTATCTTAGGACCCTGAGATCAGGACCTGAGCCAAAACCAAGAGTTACACGCTTAACTGACGGTCACCCAGCAGGCCTGCCCCCGGAGTCTTTGTAAGAAAGACTACCATGCAAATCTTCTCTCTTTAGACTCTTCTTTAGGCTTCTCTGACTAGTTGGGTCACATACTGAACTAGCTAACACCAAGGTATCACGGATTTCTTAGAGCAGCTTCCCCTTGGCAGGGTGGCAGAGGATGGACAAGTGCTAGCTCCTTGGTGGACATGGCCACTCAAAATAGGCAGAGAGCCGTGTGAAGCGAGGACACCAAAGATGAAATCCCCTGGTGTTGCCATCGATCCCTGTGGCTTAGACCGTGCACTGGCCGTGGTGGTGCACAGATGGCGACCTCCTTTCCTACCTGTTCACACAGAGTGACCCTTGCCCGTATTTGGATTTTTTTTTTTTTTAAAGGAAACTTCAGAGTCTTTAGGATGATTAACTCTCACTTAAGAGATAGAGTAAACAAGCCCCTGCCCCAGTTATCAAAGGAAGTTCTCCAAACTGAAACATCTCAAGAACATCCTGACCCGAGCTCATTGTTTTGTTTATTCTGGAAGAAAGTATAGTGTAATGGGTGGGAGGATGGAGGCAGAGGGCCTGAGCTCCAGTCCCAGCTAGGTCACTTGTCGTTGTGTGACCTCAGACAAATTACTTATCTGTCAATTTTTTTTTTTAAGGATTTTATCCATCTATTTGAAAGAGAGCGAGTGACCACAAGCAGGGCAGGGAGTGGCCCAGCAGAGGGAGAGGTAGAAGGAAGCTCCCCACTGAGCCTGGGAGCCCCACGTAGGGCTTGATTGCAAGACCCCCGGATCATGACCTGAGCAGAAGGCAGATGCTTAATGGGCTGAGCCAACCAGGTGCCCCAGGGCTTCAGTTCTCTGACCTGTGAAACGAAGGTAGGGTTGTTGTGAGCAGTAAGTGAGAAAAACTGAGGGTGGTGCCTGGCACAGAAGGAGACTCTGTAAATAGAAATGTTCATCCTTCCACTTCTGATTACCACTGGTCAGAGATCACTTAGCATTTGTCATATAGTCATTTTGCCCTTTGGAAAGGAGGTTCAGTTTTCTGAAAATGAGGGGCTTTCCAAAATCTGACCCCTTATTTCCAACCTATCAACACATAGAAAATACGTGTAGGTACACTCATGTGTATGGTTTCACATGTCTATATGATGTTTTGAAAAATTGGAATGAAGTCTTTCATTGATATTATAACTTTTAACGAATAAGTATGTATTGCTAAATTGATTAGAAATGAAATGTCATTGGTTAAAAACATAGGATAAACTATAAAGTATGCAGAAATTAGTGAACTGGGTGCTATTTTAGGTCTACAACCAGAAACCTTTAGTAGGGGGTGATTCACTGAGTAAGTTGCATGAACTAGACACTAAAGTGATTTCATTGTAGCACTTGGGTTAAAAGGCAGGAGCTGCCTGAATTAAGTCATCTTCAGGTGGCAGGGGAGGAACTAGCCTCCCTTCCAGCCTCCTTTTGCACGGCTGAGGACTCTCGTGTGTCTTGCCTTGCTTCCCTTTGGGGTGAGAGTCCTGTGGGGTGCTGGAGGGAATGGAGAGCTACCTTGACGTGAGAGCATGTCCCTGCCTGTGCCCGCTGGGAGACGCATGGTTAACTCCCTTGGCTTTCTTAGGGATGCATGCTTCAGGGAAGGTTTCCAGAAAGGCCTGGACTTTTCTTCTGTTTCTGGTCCTGCCTCAGGGTGTAGAGCACCTAGGAGATAGGGAGAAAGCCAAGTTTTGTAGATGTCTGTGGTTTTTGCCAGCTGTCTCTTCTTCTGGAGGCCCGTCTCTCCCTCTCTGCTCCCATATGTGGTCTGGGTGGATCTGTGTCTACTCCCTGACTCTGGGGGTAGGCATGCGACTAAAGCCTGGCAAATGGGCACTCCTCACTGTCTGAGCTGCGGTGATTGGGTCCAGGTTGGGCATCCAAGCCACGCCTGGCCAATGAGAAGCAATTCTGGTACTTTCACAAGAGCTTGTAAGGGGCATATCCTTTCCAGTCCAGCTAACAGGTAAGAGGTTAGCATGAAATTGCCCGAGGCTGTCTTTAATGCCATATGGGGACACACGAAGATGACCAGAAGACATTTGTTCTTTTTCTTCCTTTAAAAAACATGCTCTGAAGGGGATGACCCCGGAGAGGGTCACCTATGATTTAGGAAATGGTTACATTAGGGAGACTCCCCCCCGCCCATCCCAGTGCTTACCGACCTGCCTGTGTTTCATGAGGAACACCCAAACACTGGGGACCTACCTCTTCGGTGTGGTTTTTCTTTTGGGGGGTGTTGGGGGTGGAAATGAATCTCCACCGGGAGGACAAAGAGCTCTGCTGGAGGTTCACTGGCTTTAAGTGGACTCCTCAGGGGGTCCAGGACTCTGGGCTGTTCCTCTAGGAGAACTGGTAACGTCAAAGCCTTTGGCACCTGGAGAAAAATTGTAAAACAAAACCAAACCCATCACGGCATGTATTTAAAAACTGCTGCTTGCAGAGGACAAATGACACCACATCTTCTTGTAAGTCTGGTGCCAGGTGCTACGGGGGGTGATGTAGCCTTAGTACGTGTGGTGGAGAAGTGGAGCCAGCCGTCTCGGTGGCGGCTAGCTGTCTGATCAAAGCCCTGTCGCTCTGCTCTTTGGAAACCTGGCAATGCCCCTCCCTTAATCCAGCCTCTTACTCCCCTGAGAAATATAAATGTGATAAATTCACCAGCCTTCAAGACAAACTCTAGACTTTCTTTGTCTTGCAGCTAGGGAAATTAAGCTGGGATGGAATGATACAGCTGAGGTTTCTATGTACAGAGAGGGAAGAACCTCTGTGTATGTTGCTAAGGGAAAAAAGCAAGGTACAGAAGAACATTCTGCCGCCTTTTAGGCTAGAAAGGGCAGAAAGCAGGAATATGCATTTGTGCTTGCTTACTCTATGTAAACTCTCTAAGCCTCAAGTTTGTTTTCTGTAAAATGGAAGTAATCATACTTCCTACTCATCAGGTTGCCGTGAGTAGTAAATGAATTACATACAATTGCAATCGTGTTTGGAATTAGAATTTTTCCTCTATTTCTTTGAGGGTGGACTCTCCTCTTACTAGGTTTAATGCCCAGTCTTGCCACTTGCAGGGTATCTGGGCATCCCTACATTTCTGCAGTATGAACAGAGCTGAAAATGAATCACGATGTAACAAAGGCAGCAACAACATTAGCCCAGTTTTTTTGGTGTCCAAAAAACCCTAATATGTGTGTGTGCGTGTGCATGTGTGTGTGCGTCCAGAGAAAAAGGGAGACAGAGAGAGGGAGAGAGACATTGGGGTAGTACTTAGAGCCTTCTCTTTCCAGTTGTTCAAAAGTTGCTGAGGGGCATGTGGGTGGCACAGTCATCTGAGGGTCTATCTCTTGGTTTTGGCTCAGGTTGTTAACTAGGGTCTTGAGATCGAGCCCTGTGTCGGGCTCTGTGCTCAGCACAGAGTCTGCTTGGGTTTCTCTCTTGCTCTGCCTCTGCCCCTCCCCACCTCTCTCTCTCTCTCTCTCGCAAATAAAATAAATAAATCTTTAAAAAGCAAAAGTTGCTGGAAATTTCTTCTAGTTTGCAGCTTTTAACATATGAACTTGGCTCTGTGAAATGTACATGTGTGCTGGGTTTCAAGGAGTTCAATTTCATGGAAGGAAAAATAACAATGTTTCTCAATTTTTTTTTTTTTTTAGTGTTCAAAGAGAAAAAAATGATCAGAAACACATGTAAGCATCATCCATGTTTAGAGTTGAATGAGGAAGGAAATTCAACCAAGTATATGCAGGGTGATATTTATGATTTCAAGACATTAAGAGGGGTGCCTGGGTGGCTCAGTGGGTTAAAGCCTCTGCCTTTGGCTCAGGTCAAGCCCCACATCAGGCTCTCTGCTCTGCGGGGAGCCTGCTTCCTCCTCTCTCTCTGCCTGCCTCTCTGCCTCCTTGTGATCTCTGTCTGTCAAAAAAATAAAATCTTTTAAAAACAGACATTAAGAAAATGATTTAATCAAATACATGCACATAGGATCTTTATGTTCCTGGAGACCTTCATTGCCCAGGTGCCAGCTGCCCACCAGCTGCCCTTTCCTGAATACTGACCTTGTGCACGTTGTTTGACAAGGATTGCATTGAGAAATCCAGGTGGAAACCCAAATGATTTGTATGAGATATGATGACAAACCAATCCTTAATTTCTTTATTCTAATTAAAACTTTATAGAGTTTTGATATAGTAGAAAATATTGCCTTCCTCTGCTAACCCATATACATGGGTTGAAGGAAAGGACTCCTGTTCTCTGTGCCTGGCTTGGATCTGGGCTGACCTGGGGTATGGGATCGAGAGCTTTCCTCAAGACAGCAGTGACTCTGGCAGATCAGGCCTACTGTTTACTCCTGGTCCAAAGGAACCTCAGAAGACAGAGGCCCTTCTGATGTGAATGGGAAGGTTTTGATTAGGTTAGACACAGGAAATCTGAGAAAATCCTGAGCAGGTTGAAAAGAACCTCCCTCATTAGCATCAGGAGCACCTAGAGTTGCCCATGGCTCCTCTAACGCCATTTCAGAGACTATGAGTCCCCAGAGTGAACTAACATTGCTATTGTTCCCATTCCAAGACGAGATACTTTCACAGGAATGCATAATCTCGTGTGATCCTTCCATCAGCCTGAGGTGGGCATTACTATCTGTGTGCACAGATGAAGTCAGTGAAGCTCGGAGGGGTGAGTGACCGGCTTGAGTTCACGCAGCTGCTACGGGACAGAACATTCCAGAACCCCTGATTGCTCCTGCTCAGCACAGCTACCTTCAGACCACCGAAGACCTGAACAGAATTGCAAAGCAGGACAAGGCCAGAGACAGCTAGGAATATTCCTGAGGGGAGAAGGTATACTTGACTTTTGGCTTGTAAAACTGCCAGATTTACTGTACATTTTCAAAGGTGACAGATCCTCAATTAAGCAAAACCATTGCTGGATTAAGATCACCAGCATTTCGAGTTTGAAGTGGGTCAATGGCTTGCAAGCTCAAATTCTGTTCTTATATATTTACAGATAAGCCCCAGCCCCCTCAGAGCACAAAGGACCTTGTTGCCACCAGAGTGTGGTAATATCATAAGGTAGAACTGGTTGGGGGGGGTGGTTTGCAGCTGAAACTCCTTGTACTTCATATTTTCAACATTTAGTAAATTATAACCGTTTTATTTCAGCTCCACATGGTGAGCTCAAGAGCGAGTAAGGCCAGTTCTCTGTTTGAGACATCCCTTTGAGTTGCCTCGTTCCCGGATTGAGATTAATCGTTGAAGGGCAAACACGCATGCGCACGTGCACACGCACACATACAACCTTTTTCTTCTTTGCTTCCCCAGCTGTGTTTTTCTCTGAGCCAGTAGCAGGTGCTAGAGGAGGGAAAAGGCATCTTTCAGCAGGAGGCTCCTGTAACAAGTGGCTGCTTCGGCCCTTATGGAGTTTTATATTCCCTTGTCTGTCTGTAGAAACAGGATGGGAATGAGAACTTATGAGATGCAGGTATGAGAATGGACAGTTGACCTTCAATTTTTGTCACTTTTGGGTTACCAGGAATAGAGGCAAGAACAGGCACTGAGACAGCCATGGCTTTAGCTGAGGCAGGTTCAGGGAGTCCTTATCTCGTCACCTGGGTTGGGTTCTTGCTGGCAGATCAGGTGATGGAGAGAATTATAACGCTAGTATTAACAGTTAACACATATTAAGTGCTAAGTATAGGAAAGGAATGATACAAAGTATTTTCTCTCCAGTAACTCACCTAATCCTCAAAATACTCTTGGGAAGGTATTACGTTATCCCCATTCTATAGGTGAGGAAACTGAGCCTGGGCAAGACCAAATAACGTGCTCAAGATCACAGCTAGAAAGTGGGATTAATTTACACCCAGGCAGTCTGATGGCAGAATGTGTGTGCTTGAGTACTAGGCAAGGAGGAGGCTGGCGGTGTTGTTGCCGCCTTCTGCTGGACTCGGGCTGTTACTTTCTAAGAGGAGAGGCCCGAGGCAGTGACACTGGGTGTGCCTCAGTGTTCTCAAATGAACTCTGCATGATTGGGGTTACCGAGATTAACAAGTAAGACGTTTAGCCTCTTACCGTTGAGATCTGCCTTTCTGTTGGGGAAGGCCCCTCCATAGAATGTAATGTGGGATTTGTCACTCAGGAGCCAAGAATGGTCGATGTGGGCATGCCCAAAGGCCCTTCGGGAGGTTTGCTGTATGTTTTCGCTGTGGCTCTCCTTTGAAGTGTGTATACGGTAGTGATTCTCTATTGATGTGTCCTGGGGAACGACAGATACACATCCTATAAACAGGCTCTCCGAGGAAACAGACCAGTTCAGTCAGACCTTGCGGCTAGACTCTCAGCTGCAAGGAAGAAATTTCTTTTGCAGCTTAGGAAGAAAAACAAGGCTGTAACAGTATGTTCTCTAATGCTATCTGCTATAATATAACATTGTATTATCATGAGAGCAAGAATGACCTTTAACCATGCCTGACATACAGTTTTCTTTCTTTTTTTTCATATAGTGCTTTCCTGCAAGAAAATTTAAAAATCAAAACAAAGCTCTATGTCCTTGTCTTTATGCATTGTAAAATGTCTCTCCCTCTGCCCTTCTCCCCTGTGGCACCTCCCTTTTCCCCTTTCCAGCTCCCAGTGGCATGTGACTTTCTTGTCAGTCAGAGCTTAAAGATAGGAGCATGTGTTGTCTATGTTGCTCAGAACCACTGTCATTTTGTACACACACACACACACACACACAGGCCTTAGAGTTTAGAAAGCACGTTTATATTCTAATGTATTTAATTCTCAGAGTGGCCTAATGAGTCTGTATAGTAACAGCTCCATTTTACAAAGGAGGTCATTCAGGCTCCTTTTAAGCTTCTTTATCACATTCAACATGACTTGTCAGATGCAAGACCCAAACCAAGCCTTTTCCAATTCTAAGGCCATGAGCTCTTTTCCCTAGAGAAGACGACAGCTGCCTAGATGGGGTGAAGAGTGGAGGGGGAACCCATGGTTAAGTTTGGAGTTCATGAGTTCAGATTAAACCAGCTACTTTACCTATAGAACTTCCCCCAAATGGCCCATATTTAAGTGTGCCCTGTGACTTTTTGGGAAGAGAACATGTTATGTAGCATTTCCTAAATGTATTTGGCCATGAACTTCTTTTTTTCTCATTGAGACTCTGGCAGGGTTCCACACGTGACACTTTGGGAAACAGTGGTCCATAGGCTCGAAGTCCTCTTCCCTTCTCTGGAGGAACCCCAAGAAATGGTGAAGGGAGGGCGTATCCCCTCTGAAGTCAAGAACCATGACAGAGGGGAGCCCATCAGAAATGGTACCTCTGCCTGGGTTTCAGCTTCCTGCCATGGCTGCTTCCTGAGTCGCAGCAAGTGAATCCCCTGACTGCTGTTGCTCTTGGTGCTGGAGCCCTGGTCCACACGTCCACTAGCCCCAGCTTCCCCTTCAGCCAGGCCCTGCTGCCCTGCAAAAGTGAACAGTGGGTCAGCCTTGTCAACCCAGAGATAGGCTGATGCTATTAGCTGCTTCCAAGTTGCCTCCCTTCTTGCTCTTTTTTTTTTTTTTTAAGATTTTATTTATTTGACAGAGAGAGATCACAAGCAGAGAGAGAGAGAGAGAGAGAGGAGGAAGCAGGCTCCCTGCCTAGCAGAGAGCCCGATGTGGGACTCCATCCCAGGACCCTGAGATCATGACCTGAGCCGAAGGCAGAGGCTTAACCCACTGAGCCACCCAGGCAGCCCCCTTCTTGCTCTTCTGAGCAAAAGTGTTGATCAACGCCCTTGTTTCTCTTCCCTTCTTTTTCCTGTATTTCTGCTAGTGCCTTCATGGAAGTGGCAGCCAGGTCTATAGAACAGAACTGCACTAGGAATCAGGAGGCTTGGGACTGAGTCTCCATTTCTTGGACTCAGTTTCCTCATCTGTAAAATGGGGATACTGATTCCTTGCCCTTGCTGCCTCACAGAATTGTCTGGAGCTCGTACAGAATAATGAACATGATGGCCCTTTGCAGACGGAGAGACAAGAGGATAACAGTGGTGTGATCGTGGAGGGCAGACCCGCATCCATGCTCTGTCGTCACTGAGATGCTCAGGTGGAAGCACTTGATTTCCTGGGCTGTCTGCTGGTTGTTTACTTGCGGAATGTGCTGTGATGGACGGCTGCTTCGCTCTCTGAACTTACCCTGTCTGTGCAACCCTCAAGAAGGATCTGAGTCAACAGATGACTCCAGCCGAGTTCACAAATCTTTCATCGGTGAGGTAAAGGGTCCCGCAGCTATTTTCATCACTTACTCAAGGTAGATTTATTGCTGAAACGATCTGGCAAACCTTCCTTGTTTGGCGCTGCTTTAGCAACACCTTCTCTCTCGGCACGCTGTTCTGGGGAACAATATGGGACTGTCTTTCAACCAGGGGCTTCTGGAAGCCGTTCAGGGGCCCTGTATATGTTGGAACTCCAGACTTACGGAGGCTCCCAGCCAGCCTCACCTTCTGTCTATACTCCCCAACCCTCGTCATCCCCTGCGTCATTCCCTTCCTTGGTGTCATGGGTCCAAAGCCAGATGCCCACTTGTGAGGCTGCTCCTTCCCTCCAGCTCTCCTTCCTTTGCCCATTGGCTCCTGACTGTTTGGGGGTCTGAGCCAAAGCCAAGAATGTGGGTGGAGCAGAGGCAGACCAGGCTCAGGTTCAGAGGGGTCTGCTCAGGTCTTAGCGGCGCAGGGAAACCTGACGAGCCCTGGGGAACACCTCAATCTGGGGAGGTCCAGAGGCCCCAAGAGGACCACACCACCATACAGGGTGTGGCACTAAAGACCTTTCTGTGTATTCTAGAATGATCCTTTGGGGGCCAAGCCAGACTTCGGGTCCATCCTTTCTGGTCAGATTCACCTGGAACCAAATGCATTTCTGAGGGCAGAGGAAGTGAAACTCTGGCAAGTGGCCACTCACTCAGCGGACAGCTGTCTGCAGTAGACTGAGTTGGGGCAGGAGGCACTGTGGGCAGGGGATAGACAGAAGCCTTCTTCCCTTTGGCTGTATCCCAGGTGATATTGAATATATGACTCAATCTATTCAAGGGAAACCAAGATTTTTCTCAGGAAACATCATCTCTGGCTCATGTGCTTATGCTTAATAGAAACAGGTGTGCAAGCAAGGTATTGGAAGTTTCAGTTGTTGAAAGGAGACCATAAAACTTGGTCTCTGTGTCTCAAAATTTGGATTCAGATTACCCAAATAATGTGAAATGGAGTAGCAATTTAGAAGTCTTGGAGAACTTTTTTACCTCTGTCCTCTTCTGTGATTTTTTTTTTTTTTTTTTTTTTTTTTTTTTACAACGACCCAGAGAGGGTGGAAAGCAGATACCATTACTTCCAGTTTGCAGATTAGCAAACTAAGGACCCAGGGAGCACAAGTGACATGACCAACATCATATAGTTGGGGAAATCTTATATTTGCAGCTGGGACTTTTCCTACTTTCCTGAATAAAGTGTCTGGAGAAAAGAGGGAGGCCAAGGGGAGATGAAATTAAAACCAATAAAACCATCAGTTAGGGTTCAAGTTATAGCCTCTGAGCTGTTTTTATTTCTTTGCAAATTAATTTTTGTTCCTTATCATCATGAGCAATGAGGCACTGCAATTAGTAATTATGCTTAAATACACAAGGTAGGAAGGTCTATACCTAGCATTTATTGAGTGCCTACTATGTGCCAGATATGGCATATCCCATTTAACTCCAACATCCAACCCTGTGAGGCAAAAGTGGGTGTGGTCATCTCCATTTTATACATGAGGAAACTGAAGCCCTGAGAGGTCACACGGCTTGGGATCTGGTGCTAATGGCCACGTGTTTAATTACAATTCTATATGGCCTCTCTGTTTTCTTCCTGATTGTTTCAGCCCTTGGCATATGGCATTAATTAAGGAAATCACTTGATCCCTTAGATGTGCAGTGTTGATCTACTCCCCAAATGAAAGTACTGCAGTCCCCTGTCTAGTATTTATAGACCCGAGGGCATCAAAATCCAAGGATATTAATTGGAGACAGTGGGATTTTTGAAGAGAGAGGACATAAGGCAATGTCAAATGGGGTGCCACCTGGGGAAGGACAGATGGTCCCAACACAGGAGCGTTACCTGGGCAAATTCACCCATTCCCAGGCCAAAAATGGCCCAGAAATTAGACATTTTTAGTGTCCCAGAATCAACTGGTTTCAGAGATCTTGATCCACATTAGCAAAGTATATAGAGACTCTATAAGCCAGGGTATTAATTTACAAAGAGGAATACAATTGCCTGACCAGCATATTTCCTGTATATGAACTATATGTGGGTCAGGTTATAACCAAAATTCTCTGGTTCCAGAGTCAAGACTTAAGGGAGGTATTTGGCAGGAATGTTTAATGAGAACATGCCACATTCTTCTCCATTCATTGGATAGACCAGATTGTCTACTTATTCTGACTAGATCCTTTTCTAAGGATAAGACTTGGTTAGGCACTACCATTATGTCCAGAAAATTCCTTTTTTCATTTCAGAAAAAAATAACTATATTATGTTAGGCTCTTGTTCTTCCCTTCTCTTTTCTTGAAAACCCTGGCACTAGCCAATGTCTTACTCTATGTCCATTAGTGTTACTCAGTCATCTTTTCCTATCTCCCTTAGCAAAGGCAATTTTTGGCTCATTTATTGCTTCAAGTTCCCAAGAATAATTTTGACAAATAAAACCCCCATAGTACTGAACAGCTTACAGACAATTCAGTAATCTTCTGTACAGTAATGAGGCAGGTCCTATTATGTTCATTACAGAGATGAGCAAACAGAAGCTCAAAGAGGTTAAGCGACTTCTCAAGATCTTACATCTAGTAAGAGAGAGAACAGACATTGCTCCAAAACCTGGATTTTTTTCTTATGATATTGCCACAAAACTATAGAATTAAAGAATGTTAGAGTAGAACAGGCCTAAGAAGTCTAAAATCTAGAGTCTAGACCTGTACTGTTTAATACAGTACCCAATAGCCACATGTGGCTGTTTACATGTAAATTAATCATAGGTAAGTAAAAATTTAAAAACTCAGTTTCACAGTCGTACTTCCAATGTTTCAAGTACTCAATAGACACATCTGGCTAATGGCTACCAATTGGACAGTACCTATTATAGAATAATCCATCATGCAGAACGTACGGTTGGATAGTTCTGGTCTAGACTCTAAAGACAATGAAACCCAGAATCCCCTTATTTTGACTAACTCCATTTTAAAGTGTTAAAAATCTAAATGTTTGAGATCTGGTCATAAAATCAACATGTACCTTGTTCAAAAGATTTTCCTTGTTGAATCCAAAATGGAGGGAAGACAGGCAGGAGATGGTATTTTGGGGGTACACCTGAAAGATCCTGTTGTGGCCTGAGATTCTTTGGTACATTAAGTTGACTGTCCTGGAGCAGCACAGAATCCTTGATGTACCCTGAAGAGTAGGTCAGGAGTTATTGGTAGAAATAGTGGTGCCAGTCCAGAGGTCTTGGAGATGACTACAAGGTTCCCCACTTGCTTTAGACATTGCCCATTAAAGAAGACAACTAGAAGATGGAGGGATTAAAATCGTATAGAACCCACAGAGGGTTCTCTGGTGAGTGTCTTGGGTACTTCTGGTCCTGTGCCACATGTGAGTTTCTTCCACTTCATCATTTCCAAGAACTGGGTCTCCCTGGTGGGAGAAGCATAGCTGCTTCTTTGGGGTTGGGTAGAAGACCCCTCCTGCTTTAAGAGGAAAATCTGAAGGTTTCTCCTGGAGGTATCCTACTTGGTTCTGTAGGCCCCATGATTCTCAACTCATTCTACAAGTATTTATTGGGGACTTACGACGGCTAGCATGGCCCCTTTTTAGAGGCACTAATAGTCCGTTGGAGAGACCAAGCTTTCCTATGCTCAACTGTGTGGCCCCAAAGGTCAGTGTGACATAAGGTCAGAAAATAGGGAGCTCGATATTGGCTGGAGTTGTCAGAGAAGCATTTGTAGAAAATGTGGGCCTAAAGGGTCTGAAGGAGTTATCATAGGGGTGGAAAGATGGGACCAGAGAACATACACCAGCATCACGAGGGTAGTGAGCTCTGAGACGTGAGCTCTCTGGTGGAGGCCACTGGGCCAGTGATCTCATACCATAGTGTTGCTGTTGTCCCTCCAGCTTGAGGGTCTCACCGTCAAGAGGTACACCAGTGATGAATTATGGCAAGGGGCCCAAGAATGCACATACACACGAATCCTTTCTTAAACTACACATTGTGGCCATATGACTTCCAAAAAGGAGTCTGAGGCATTTTTTGATGTTAAGTGGGGTTCTTGTGTTTGACAATGTTGGGCCTAGTCTATGCGGCCGTGGTCTGCTGTGTCCTCTGCCCCACCCAGTGATAAATATATCTTTGGTTAAGGGCCTCTTTCTCACAAGTGTTAAATAATGGAACTGCCTCTAATGCTGGGCCTGCCATGAAGGTAAAACCAATTACTGGACAAACCCACATCTTATTTTCCTTCAGTCATCACTTACTGGGGAGAAAGCTGTTTTCTCTCCCTTCCCAAGGTAAACCTATAAAGCAAGAAGCAAGTCAGTCTTCCTTTGGTCCTGTCTGTTTGTGCTGAAGAAATGGCAGACACCCAATGGGCACTGCCAAGTCCTCCTTCTTACTTCTCTCATCCCCAACAGGTTTGCCAAATAAAATATAGGATGTCCAGTTAAAGTTGGATTTAAAAAAAAAAATTGGATTTCAGATAAACAATGAATACTTTTTTAAGCAAAAATATGTACCAAATATTGCAAGTTTAACTCTCTGTGTCCATATGTGTCTGTGTATAGAGTATATGCTACGCATATACTCTATGTGGAAGAAACCCACGTGTGGCACTATGTCTATGTATCTGTGTATGTCTGTGTGGGTCCCTGTGTGTATGCGCTAAACCTGGCAACTTGAATCCCCAACAGTTTCCTGTTTTCATTTTTAAGCCTTTACAGAGTCCGTTTGGGATCTCTGTTCAGCAGAAGGGCATCCATCTCCTCGGTGGGTGGTATTGGAGAGCTGCCATCTTTAAGAGGAGGAGGCCTAACATTTCCACTTCCTGGAGCTGAGATCACCTCAGAAGGGCAACTAGCGTGTGTCGGGGTGAATGTGGGAGCTGGGGGGAACGTGGGGAGGATTTGTCTTCTGGTCCCAGCTCTGCTTTTGACTGAATGACTTTGGATAAATTACTTTGCCCTCTCTCCCCCAGCCTCCTTTTCCTTATCTTGTAAAAGAGAGGGATTGATCTAGAGGACCTGAAGTCTCTTGGTGGGGAAGGTTGGGAAGAAAGTTCTGCTTGGGATGTGGGCTGTGAAGGTCCTGAGAAGAGCTAGAAAGAAGGCAAGACTTTAGGCTGTATGTTCCTCTGCAAATGTGGGAGAGGACAAAAGGCAAAAGGTATGACAGAGGCTCTCAGCTCCTAAGCTGAAGCACCTTTGTCTGTCTTACGCAAAATTGGACCTGAAATTCTAGTGTTTCAGGACTTGGTGAAAATACTCTCACATCAGAATTCAAGGCAGGGCATCTCAGCATGTATGTCCTCCCATTGCCCCACTGACCTGCACAATGGAGCCTGTACATGGTGTCAGGGGGCCATGTCCGCAAGAGGCCTCGGAGGTATCTCTTGGCTGAATACCCAGGCTGCATCTGCCGTTGGCCCTGGCTCTCTGGTTGGCTTCGGAAATGGAGGTACGGTCGCCAGGCTCTGTCCTGTTCCCTCTGTGGGGACACCAGTCAGGAAACAGCACGGCTGCTGAGTCCTGAGCCTCCCAGTGATACACTCTGGTTAGCATAATCCTCATCAGTAATCAGGGTGACTCCTGGAAGGTGCCTAAAGGCCCCTGAAACAGATGCCTCAGCCAACAGACGTAAACCAAGAGCCCACAGAGCAAAGCTCTGAAAGGCCCCTGCAGATTTGCAGTTGGAAGGAGAAGGACAAATGAGACATTCCAGACCCTGTCTTGAGACGAAGCATCAGAAAAGAATAAGAGCCTCAAAGAAAACACATTACTTAGCTGTGGAAATCATTTTAGTACCTGAAAAAGTGGTCCTATAGGGCAGTGGGAAAGTCAGCTCAACAAGTCAGCATCGCCGGTCAATGTTTACAGTATGAATAATGGGACAGACAGACTATGTTCATGTTACTGGGAAGCCTGGCACTCTGGAAATATCTAGCTCTGCTACCTTTCATTGCAGCCCAGGAGAATTTTCTGGGAACCTACCAGCCAAAGTCAGTTCCCCTGTGCAAGACTCACGGGAAATAAATGGGAATAAGAACATCTTACACTTAGGTGGGCATATATATTCTACAAAGAACTTTCACCTCATTATAATCCTTTAATGTGGGCGAGTTAATACTATAATTACTCGAGTGATGCAGAACTCTCGTAGGATGATCAGTTAAGGACAAGAACTGTAAACACGAGGACTTGGGTTGACATCTGTCCGCCTCCCCCTTGTCTATGGTGGACATCACCAATCAATCATGGCATTCTTGACTGTTGAATAGATTGTGATTTCAGAGTCCTTCTCCTACAGAATTTTTAAAAAAGACTTATTTATTTACTTGAGAGAGAGAGAATGTGGGGGGGGGGGGCAGAGGGAGAGAGAGAATCCCAAGCCGACTAGGTCCTGAGTGTGGATCCTGACACAGGACTTGATTCTCACGACCCTGAGTTCTGACCTGAGCTGAAACCAAGAATTGGACACTGAACCAACTGAGCCACCCAGGCGCTGCATTCTCCTACAGATTTTTAAGAAACTGAGACATCATTTATATATCATAACATGCACAAAGCTAAAATGTTTAGTTTAATAAAATCTGACAATTGTATACACCTTTGTAGCCACCACACAAAACAAAATATAACCCAGAAAGTTCCCTCATGCTAGCTCCTGGTCAGTTTCTCCCCACCCATCAGGGAATCACTGATGAGGTCAGTAAACCACAGGCCTGGGTTACTTTGCCATATCCTGCCAGAATTTACCAAAGAAGAATGGTTAAATTTAAAAAAGTAAAGAAAAAAGGAAAAATACTATGGGAATATAGAACCTGCTTAATGTGGAGAGGAAGGCCTTAGGTTTTGGGTTCTTGTTCTATGGAGCCGATCTGTGGTTTGCTCCCATTCTGATGTATTCAGGATATCAAAATGCCACAGAACGACAGCCTACAGCTGAAGCTGAAGAGTCAAGACCACTGGAAACTCTTCTTCAGCTAAAAGGAGGGCTGGGAAGCCAAAGTCCATAGGGCAAAAGAATGTCTCTGCTGGGGAGGGAGAAACAGGTACCCAGGATAGATATTCATTCATTCGTTCGTTCATTCTTTCATACATTCAATTATTCATTCATACAGTGCATCAAACAATATGCCAGGCACTGGAGGAGAAGGGACAAATAAGACAGATGGAGAAGAAAGAATTACAGGGAAGGCAGTGGAAGCAAAGTGACTCAAGTTCTCTCTCTCTTCATTTGTTCATTTGGTAATCAAACATTGGTAATCTTTCCTGAGCATCTTCTAAGTGCTTGGTACTGTGGTAAGTCATGCAATAGGAAGCCATAGATCAAAGGCCTTTTTTGGGTGACCTGGAGCTTCATTCCCTCCCTGTAAATCTTCGCTTCCAGAATTTTCTCTGAATGCAACAATACCAAGCCTCATCTGAGACGCTGCAGTCCCTACGCAGACGGCATGATGTACTGGTTGATCTGGACAAGAGCCCAGTCGTGGGTATTTCTGCAGTATCAGGCTGGTTCTGCAGCTCTACTGGGCAACGTGCTAGATGGGCAGGGAGTTGCGAAGAAGAGTTAGGAAGTCCTTTGTCCTGGAATTTGGGGTATCTAGACCCATTTTTGCCTGTAGTTTGAAAGCTGATCTTGGTCTCTGTGTTAGTTTCCTATTGGTGCTTTGTTTTCTTAAAAAAAAAAAAAGATTTTATTTATTTATTTGAGAGCAAGAGTGAGAGCAAAGAGAGAGAGAGAGAGCACACGCAGGGGAAGGGGCAGTGGGAGAAACCACCCCCCCCCCCGACCCCACAATGTGGGGCTTGATCCCAGGACTCTCGGATCATGACCTAAGCCAAAGGCAGACACTTAACCGACTGAGCCACCCAGGTGCCCGAGTTTCCTATTGCTGCTTTGACAAATTACCATATACTTAGTGGCTTTAAACAATAAACATTTATGATCTTATAGCTCTGGAAGTCAGAAGTTTAAAATGGATCTCACTGGTCTAGCATCAAGGTGTTGACAGGGCTGTTTTCTTTCTGGACACTCTAGAGGATAATCTGTTTCTTGGCGTTTTCCAGTCCCTAGAGGCTGCCTGCATTCCTTGATTGTGAACCCCTCATCCATCTTTAAAACCAGCAAAACTGGGCTAAGTCCTCGTGCTGCTATCTCTCTGGTTCTCCCTTTCAATTCCTTCTAACACTTTTAAGGATTCTTGGGATGCATTAACCTGCCCAGATAATCCAGGATAATCTCTTTTTTAAAAATTAAGATTTATTTATTTAAGAGAGAGTGTGTGCTGGTGAGCAGGGGGAGGAGCAGAGGGAGAGGGAAGGGGAAGCCAACTTCCCACTGAGCACAGAGCCTGAGGTGGGCCTCAATCCCACGACCCTGAGATCATGATCTGAATTGAATCCAAGAGTCAGAGGCTCAACCAACTGAGCCACCCAGGCACCCCAATAATCTCTTTGTTTCAAGGCCATCTGATTAGTAACCTTAATTCCGTCTGCAACCTTTATTTTCCTTTGCCATTTAACCTAATACATTCCAGGGATTAGGACATAGACATCTTTGGGAGTCATGATTCTGCCTGCCACAGTTTCTCTTAAATTTTTTCTAGTTTTCTGGTTTCTCTTAGTTATTTCTCAAATCATGTCTGTGAAGTTGCTTAATAGATCTCACATGTCATTGGATACACTGATGCACTGAGAGAGAGGCCCAAGGCCTGCTTAGAGCTACCAGGAAGACCAGGCAGGGTTAAACCTATTCAATCATTTCCAAGGTGTAGAATAATATGTAAAGTGGAAAAAAGCAAGATTCAAGAGAGAATGTAAAGTACAATTACAATCTCATAAAAGTATATTTTATACATGTATAATCATGATGGAAAAACTGGAAGAAAATATACTAAAATTCTAATAACAGTGGTAATAGAGTCTTGGGCATAAAGTTACAGTTAGGTTTTTTTTTTGCCTTCCTTTTTTGAAATTAAAAATCCAATAATATGGTTAGATGATATTAATACATGGAAAACATGTTAAAAATTAATTTATTTTATTACACCCATCCTCCTCTCAATTCGTTCTCTAACATTAACCTGGACCTCTAACTACCAGAAGTTTCTATAAAACCTAAAAGGAGACAGAAGGGAGTCGGAAAGGGAGTTTCTGGAACGGGGAAATAAGTGACAGCAGGAGGTGGCTTCTCAGGCCTGCCTTGGCTTTGCCAATCAATTCCAGCTTTTGGTTTCTTCTGAAATGAGTAATTACTGTGCACAGCGCAGCCTGTTGTCCTCACTCTACCAGAGTGCTTCCTTTAATAAGGGACTTTCTCTGGCCAGCCATGTTGCCGTGCCCGCCAGGCCTCCATATGCGGAGGAGTAGAGAAGACCCCAAGTGACTTCCCCACCCCCTAACCCCGCCCCCACCGTGCACTGGCTGTCATGTCCACCCTGCCCCAGTGCTGGCCAGTGAGGGTTTCCAGAGAGTGGAAGGAGCCGCTGCAGGCTGCTCAGCAGATAACGGGGTGGCAGGGTGCCAAGCCCAGACAGCCAGCTGCCATCTCACCACAGACGGTGGCCAGCCTTTGCGTGCGGGAGTTGACAAAGGGGTGAAGAGAGAAGTCCAGAAATCCCAAGACCAACAGACAAAACCCTGCACAATCTGAGCCCACCCACTTCTCCAGGTCCATTTCCAGCTAGGAGTCCTGCCTGCCTCATTGCCCTTTCTTCCGCTGGTTCTCCCCTCTAGGCCTTCCCTTACCTATGACTGGAAGGTTTCTCTCCACTTATTTGTACCATAAGACTTGGCTCAAATTCTACCTCCTCCAAGATGTAGTCACTTTAATCTGGTCCTTGCACACCCCTGCTGGGTAGAGGTTATAGCCTTTCCCTGTCGCACCCTGACAGCCCATATGTTCGTCCAACAACGATGTGCTGAGCCTCTGATGTAGGTCAGACACTATTCTAGGCACTGACTAGTTAATAACCCCTCGAGATGCTGGCGCATTTGAATCGAAATCCCCAAAATGCCTGTCCTTCCCTGCTGAACACCTGTCTCTTGAACTGCCTGCTTCCATCAGAAGTTCTTCTCTGAGGAGGAACACAGCTGCCTCCTGTTTTGCAGTCAGGCTTGCCGGAGCCAGCGTGCTCTGGCAAAGGCCAAGCTTTCCCACAGAGGCTGACCACCCGTGGTTGTCGCACCTGTGCAGGTCTGACTGGAGCCAGCCGTGGAGATACTAGGGATGTGCTACTGGGGTACGAGTGGGACTGTAATGGGAACAGAGAGATGTGTACCACTTGCAGCTGTGCCTAGGAAGCCTTCTCCACCCGTAGCCTGACTCTGTTAGTTCTGTGTAAACACTACCACTCTCAGCCAGCCGTTTTCTCTGCAGATTTAATTTCTGCGATTCTGGGCAAATGATACTGTCTCTCTTACATGTATCTGTGGTGACTATATGTTCCTGGATATCAAGCCATTAAAAAGAGAATTGGGGTGCCT